TACTTCGCGAACTCCCTCTCGATGTAGTTGCTTCAAAAGAGTATTGCGCGATACTCCTCTCTTTCTTCCTTCTGCTTCTAGGTCGATTTCTTCTTCAATGTCTGTCATCCCATCGTCCTCTTCATCGTTGTAGGCCTCTCTAAAAGTCTTGCCTTCTTCACGTACCAGCACGCAAGCTTCCCCTTCGTTGCCCTCCCTCTCTTCTTCTTTTTCTTTATTCTTGAGTTCATTGGCCAGTAAGTAATTATTGGCCACAACAGGAGGTAACGTACCGAACTGGATGGTAAGGGGATGATCTGGATCTTCTCCATCCCTTCTGTCCCGCTCAAACTTTGATCTCCCAGAAGAAGTTTCTGGCAGTTCCTTCATTGATTCATCTGTACCGGTTTCTTCACTATTTTTGAGGACATTTTGATTGGTTACCTTGAGTAATTTAGGTGCTTTAGGATGTGGCACTCCCTGTTGCTGCCTCATCATCAGTCCATAGTTTCGTTGGAAACACCTTTGTTGGGTTCTAGTAATTTCATCGAAGGGTATTGCCCTTCCTGCATTATACTGGAATGAATGCCACACATTTGGCCGGCGAGGTTGCAGCATGAATGTTCTTCCATTATCTGCTGGCCTGAACTGCCTCTCAAAAGGCGGTCCTCTATAGAATGATGTACCTCGCCCTCTACTAGGCTGAATGTTTGGGAAGAAGGTAGGGCGATGGGGATGCTGCCATATCCCTGGTTTCTCCGTATTGCCATTTATTTCTCTTTTACATCTTGCACACAGGACGTCTTCGTCCTTTTTTGGTTCTTTCCCCTTGATTCGTTCAAAGACACTGGGATGTGGTCTAGGATCCTTTTCTCCATCATCTACGACGAACTTGAATTTTGGCAACTTGTTTTTGAATCCAGACGTCACCATGTTCACTCCAAGTGGCTGTGGAAAAGGATTTTCATCCACTGCCATCTTTTTCTTATCGTCGAACGTAATTCGTCCTGATTCAATAGCATCCTGCAATACATGGCAAAAAACCAAGCAATTGTTAGTCAAATGTAACCATGCATTATGCCACTTACAATATTTTTTACCCTTAATTTGTTCAGGGTTTGGCAATTTGTGCTTATCGCTTAACTTTATCTGCTTATCCCTATATAATTTATCAAATATAAGGTCAGCTTTGGTTACATCGAACGAGAATGTTCTAGCCTTTATGTTTCCATTTTTTATGGGCTCATCTTTACCCGATGGTCTTGGCTTGGCCATTATGGGACAAGTATACGTATCTCCTTTGACCAATTCGGCCAAACACATTTCAACCTGATCGTATGACTCGTCACTGATAGTATGAACATCAAAATTTGGGTCTTTGTAATAAGTCCCTTTACTAGAATTTTTCATCTGTTCTTCCTCTCTTATCAGTCGTTTATATCTAATCACATTCGCACTCAACTGGAAAAGGTCAAGAAATTCCTTGTCCTGGAACTTCTTCTTTAAATCAAAGCTCAAGCAGCCCTGAGCGATTTTGATAAATTCTTTTTCAGGCAGAGGTACAAAACACTCGCTTCTTGCTGTCTTGAACCTTTGGAGAAAACTTTCTGCCCATTCGTTTGGCATTTGACGTAGATTCGCCAAATCAGCCAAAGTGACTTCAGACTCAGTTTTATAAAACTGAGCGTGAAATAACTGTTCCAATTGTTGTCATGTTTGAACAGAGTTCGCTGGCAAGTTGATGAACCAGGAGAAAGCTACTCCTGTTAACGAACTAGGGAAAAGCCTCATTTTATGGTAATCGGTTACATCACCACTTTGCAATGTGAATCGCCCTATGTGTTCTAGAGTAGACACCTCTCCTAAACCGGTAAACAGTGAGAATTCTGGCACTTTGTATCCTCTAGGCCATGGATATGCTTGGTCTACCCAATCAGGATATGACTTTGTGTACGTCGACCTAATGACGGGACGCACCCCAAAAGCCATCTGATCCTGTACGATTTCCATAATCTGATTCCTCAACATGACGTTGGGATCATATGGAATTCCTACAGGCTGATTAACCGGTTGATTTGCATGAGGCCTGATATTTGGTCCTTGATTGGCAACAAAATTACCATAAGTAGGGCCATTACCATTAGCCTGAACATCTATTCCCTCATTAACACGTGAGGTGTGCTGTCCATTGTTTAGGACATTATCTCTTATGTTTGGATTACCCCCAAGTTAGGCGTACCACTACCATTGTTCTGATTTGGCACTGCAGTACCCCCCTTGGTTTGAAGTAGAGGGACCAGAAAGTGGTTCTACCCCTTGATTCGGATTTAGAACTGAGGGATTATGTCCCACAATTGTCCTAGTTTGAAAGTGATTTGCAAGAGGTATAACCGGTTGACATATTTGGCCTACTAACTTATTCATTGTTTCATTCAAAGTATTTAGTTGTTTGGCCATATTGTTATAGTGTGCATTCCCATTTTGGGTAAATCTTTCCATATTATGAATACTTCGAAAATTTACCTGTTCAACAACGTCTTGTGTGAGTTCTCCAAGTAATGCACGCATGGTTCGAGGACTCAACTCCGTCATTGGTTCGTAACGACTGTTACTGCTTTAATTCTGTCCATCTGTTCGTGGAGAGGCATGTTGCTCCTCATATCGCTCGATCACAGACTGGACTCCTCCCTAACTTGCTGCTTTCTTATCGGATCTCTGAGATATATTATTTCACCTTTTGTACTTTCAACACCGAACACCACTGTCCCACTGGGCGTGCCAAATTGTTTCGCGCTGGTTAGTCGCTAACAATGGGATCAGATGATTGTGTAAGGGACAAACCTCTTGAGACAAAGTCCCAAAAAGGGGCGTTCTTTTATTGGCGATGACTTTACAATTGGAAATCGAAAACAAAGTGCCTCCAAGGGGCGCAAGCACACGAGTTACTGAAAAAAGTGTTTAAGTCTAAAACTAAAGAAAATAAAATTACATGTTCTCTGTTCGAGAGTTTTTAATTCGGTCCTTTGCTCTATGTCTTTTCTCCCTTTTATATTTCATGGACGATCTCTTTATGATCAACCGCCTAAAAACTGCTTGATCGTTCTGCAACTGCCCACTTTCCTCATAATGGCCAACTTGTCATGAAAACTGCCTTATTTAACTGCTGCCATTACTCTTCGTCGTTCAACTGTTTTCGATTGAATTCCTTGAATCGTGGAACGTGATGGGGCTGCTTTAATAACTGCTTTGATAACTGCACTTCTTAATAACCACAACGCTTTATGTTTGTTAAGACTTTGGGCGACTTGAAGGTTTTGGCGAGAATAGAGTAATAGCTCTGGGTGACTGCATGGCACTCCATTCGCTCAGATTCTGGGCGACTTGCAATCTTGGGCGATGGCGTTACCACGTTCTTGGGCTTTCCTATTTGGGCCTTCATCTTGAATTGTTTGATTGGACTTCGTTCTTTGGGTTATCTGATTTGGGGATTCTCCAATTGGGCTCATTCCTTGGGCCGTTCGATTTGGGTTGAATTTTTATGTGTCAACAGGATGACAATGATTCGATTCGATTCGACCAAAATCATCACCGAACCGTTAAATTTTTTGTCATACCATAACCACACCATAACCACGTAAATCGATTCAGTTCGTATCTCGGTTCGATTCAATTAATAACCACGAAAATAATTTTTTTTTATAAATCCATCCGTCAAATTGATATAAAACAATTTATGAAAAGAGAATCAATGAAAATAAAAACACAATATTTCAAATGAAAATGCAAATATTATCTCAAATTTCAATTGCAAAATACAAATTTAACAAACAATATTGTAAATATAACAATACTAAAATTTTCTTTCATTCTTGATTTTTGTGCATTGTAGTTACTTGATTCATGTTCAATAATTCAAAAGTTTCAACCTTAACTCATATTCAATTTTCATTCTTCCACACAACTCTTACTAGCAACGATACTACCTAATCCAGAATGGTTTTAACTAAGATTTAAATAAAAAAATGTACATATTCGTCAACTTCCTTCTTACTAAACATTGTCATTCCTAATAAAAAAATGATTTTTTTTAAGCGGGTAATCGGTTCGGTTTCAATTCGATAACATAAATATCATACTCGTACCGCTACGAATCGGTTCATTAAAATCAAATACCATATCAGCCACATCGCACCATCGGTTCGATTTTTTCGTCCCATTCGATTCGATTAACAAAGATTTTCAATTTTAACGATTTAAATTGTCATTCCTAGATTTATAGATCTTTGTGGATTCTCCCATATTAGCAAAATGGTCTGCATAACCATTTTCTTGTCTTAATGCTAGTGTTATCTCAACATTGCATCTTTGTAGTGGAAAAAGACAATCCTCAAGCGAAGCCTCGTGGGGGTTTTCATTGATGTCGTTTGATAAAAAATAACTTTGACAAGATTCACAATTCATAAGGGAATATGATAACTTTTAGGGTTTGTTTGACATGATTTTTGAGAAATTAAAGAGGATTTTGATATTCAAAAGTTGATTTTACGTTCGTTTAGCTAAGTTTATGAAAATGATTCTTCTAATTAGAAGAGTTTTAGCGAAAAAAATCCAATATATTTTCTTCTAAAAGTCCTTCCGAAATGAAAAACTCTTTTAAAATTTAGTTTTCAAATAAAAATCGAAGTAAATATTTTAGAAAACTCTTTTTATGAAGCAATAGTCATGCATTTAGCCGTGATTGACTTCGATAATTGTGTTCTTACGGTTTTATCTTATTTATTTTATTTTCACTTGAATAAGTTTAAATAAAAAGAAAAAATATAAAGATAAATGAAATAAAAATAAACACTAAACATTATTAAATTTAGGCCAAAAATAATTATGAGGGGTAAATTCTTTTAGAATAGAATTTTATGAAAAGTGATCATTTTGAAGATCTTAATGTTAGGAAGCAAGAAAAATTGTAAATTCATGTAAAGAAAAAATAATTAAAAAATTTTGAAAAAATAAATAAATTGAGAGAATCTCTATTTTATTCTCAATCAAAATTGTAAATGATGCGGGGAGTTATCTTTCCTAATTATCATTAGCTTATCATTAGCCACTAAACAAATTCTAGGGTTTTACATTTATTTATCTAGAGACGTTTAATTTTTTAAACATAAACTCACTAGCAGATAAACAAACACTTGGATCTAGATATTATGTCCTTATTTTGGTAATCGATTTCTTCTTATTTGTCCAATTTTTTCTTCAATTGAAGGTTTTTTCAGATTTACGTATCTATTGCAAAGATTTCAGTCTTTCACTCTGCTGAATAGACTTCACAACAAGAGGTAAGATTTATGCTCATTTCGTTAATTCTACAAATGAAAAAAGGCTTTAACTTTTTATTGCAAAATTACTTTATTTTGTTGCCATGGGATAGTGATTTTGAGGATTCAGTAATTGTTTGAATGGAATTAAGATTTAGGGCTACAAGAATTTGAATTAGAAAATACTGATATAGTGATATAAGTTTGAATATGATTTTTTACCGACCAATTTCAGTTCCAGCCTCGGAATTCTATTTTAAAGCTCACAATAATTATGGCGGGTTTCGCTTGAGGGAATCGGGGGTTCGTTGTAAATCAATTCTAAATCATATAGTGAGCAAAATTGTTTCTCTGGGAACGTGATATAAAATTTTGAAGTAGGTTATTTTTTGCTGCTGCTAATTTACGGAAGCATGCCATTTGGGGTTCCATCATATAAAATGTAGAAAAAATTAATTTGAATGAAAAAAAATTTGTTCTTTAATTCTAGGTCCTAGTTATCGACCAAGATTTTGCTTCCGACCTTCATGACCTCGATTTGCCAATTTGATAATGCTTCCTGAAAGAGGGGGTCAAAACGGAGGAAATATAATTTTCTATTTCAGTTCAAGATGTGGACATCTCCTCCTTGGGTCTTAGCTTTCGGATTTTATTACTTGAAACTCAAAATTTAAATCTTTCTTTGTAAATTTTGTTCAAAATTGGATATTAGGGGTTTAACGTTATTCTGTTCTTGATTTACCCTTTAATAGCCATATATGGGGGGTCTATATTTGCTATAAGATGTGAGTGCTCATGTGCATGCCAATAAGTACCTAATGGATCATATACATCAAAGTCCTTCTCATGTGCTTGTGTGTATATATGCACCCTTTAATAACATATATATGGTGGGTTTGTAGTCTAAAAGTTGTGTATATTTGCTTGTATATACAGGAGCTTGTGCAATCACATTTATATGTGTGTTTCAGAAACACTAGAGGTTAATAATGGTGCGCAAAGGAAAGAAAAAAGCTTCGACCTCCAATAGAACTCACAAAGAGAATGAAGTTGCTCAAGATGCTTTAGTTGAAACAAAGAACTCTGACTCAATGATAGCTAAGATAGAGCAAACAAAGGGTGTTGCTCATATTGAAAATACAGAAACAACATCAGTTGACATGACAAAAAGTGAAGAGGATGAAGAAACAAAGCATGAAGAACAAAATGTGATTATCCAAAAGAGTGAAGAAACTCCGGAAGATGATGAACCTATTCAAGAGCTGAATGGTCATAATAAAATAGAAGAGGACCAAAAGAGCAAAAAAACTCCTGAAGATGATGAAGATAATCAAGAAGGTCCAATGGAGGAAGGTGATGAAGATAATCGAGAAGATTCAATGGAGGAAGATGATGAAGAAGATACTTCCGAAGAAGCCAATGAAGAAAATGAAAGTTTCGAGGATGAAGATAGTGAAGAAGATGCTACAAATACTTTCGAGGACGAAGATAGTGAAGAAGATGCTACAGAAGTAGAAGAAGAAGAAAATGAAGATGATGAAGAAGAAAACAATGGTGCAAAAGAAGAAAAAGAAATTGCTGAAGGAGAGAGTGGAAAAGCTGAAAAGTGTAATGAAGAAAATATGGGAGCACTTTCAAAGGAAAAGGCCAAGAAATCGGGTGAAAAGAGCGGAAAGAAGGTGAAAGAAAATTCGGTTGGTAATGATAACGATTATGAAGAAGATAGAATGAAAGAAGAAGACAACAATGGTGCAAAAGTAGATAAAGAAAATGCAGATGGAGAAGGACAAAATGCTGAAGAGCAGAGTAATCTAGAGAAATTGGAAACAAATTCAAAGGAGAAGGTCAAGAAATCATGGCAGAGGCGCAGAAAGAAGAAGGTGGAAGACGGAAGCTTCAAAAAAGTGGCCTCTGGAGCTAAAGATAAGCCTGAATCATCGACCAAGAAGAAATCTAAGAAAAGGGCTGAGTGCATGGGAATGATTTTTATGTGCAGTTCTCAGACAAAGAATGACTGCTACCGTTATAGGGTTCTTGGGCTGCCTGCTAGCAAGAAAGATTTGGTGAAAAAGATCTATAAAGGGATGCGACTGTTTTTATATGATATTGATTTGAAATTGATGTACGGAATCTATAAAGCAGCTGGAGCTGGGGGATATAACATTGAGCCCAAGGCCTTCAAGTCACAGTTCCCATCTCAGGTTAGTTCATATGCTATAATTCGAAGGAATCTACATTTTCTTTCGTGCTCAGTGCCTGAATTTAGTTCATAAATTACTTTTTTCACCCTTATCTCCACCAAAGAGACTGGAACCATTGATCTAGTAAGGCTCCTCTCTCACCACTTGATCTAGACTCTGGTATGTAAATAAATTACTTTTAAATATCATTATGTCTTTTCTTCAAGGAGTAGGTAAAACATTACAACAATTGAGTCAAAATAAAAATAAAATTATGAGACACGAACATTTGTTTGTCATTGTTGCACGATGTGATTTTATTTTGTTAAAACTTTCAATTAATACTCCTTTAGGAAATTGCTCATTATTTTTCCCTAGCAGGGGATAAAATTCTGAGCATACAGTTGCAGCATTCTGTTGTTAAACTGGATCTTCACAGCTTAGTATATTGCCTTCATTTTGTCGGAGTTAATGAAGGCATTTTCTTTTTTTTTGTTGTTTTTTTTTTCTTGGGGTGATCTGGCAAGTATGATTCCTTTTTATGGTATTTGCATATTTCTTTTGTAGAAAGTTGCATTGAGTATGCAAGTTTTGTGACATTAAAAAATTTTATATGGTACCAAATATCTGTAAGCTTATCTAGAAGTGTCTTTGGTTCTTAAATCATCTTCAACATGTCTGTTCCAGATAGTCCATGTAAAAGAACAAAATAGTGAATTCTCAAATCAAGTACTCCACTTTACCTATGACCTAGCTTCAGTTATTGGAGGAGTGAAATAAAATAAAAAATAGATGGAAGATTATTACAACACAATCTCACTATTTCTGCCATTATATGAAATGATTCTCCATTGTGCTATCATTGTTTATCGGGGAAGATGCGAATATGATGGAAGTTTTTGCTTGTGTGAGTGATTTTCCTGTGGCATAGGACAACTTTTGCTCAATTATTGGAAGTTTTAATAAGCTTGTCAAGTAATAGAGTCGGAGGAAGACTGATTATCTGTTTTTAGGTCCATATTGTTGCAATACCATTTTTGAAATCAAAATGAATACTTCTCTCTTTTTCTTTTTCTTTTTTCATTTTTTTCTTTTAAATCTTGAAATACAGAGTAAATTTGTACTTGAATTTATTTGATTCATTTGCAATGAAACTTGGATTGTGAATCTGGATGAGTAAGTTTAGCACAGACATTAGATAATTACACTTCGTTTGAATCACTCATCTGGATCCCAAACCTTAGTTGGATTAAAATATACGTTTCCTCTTCACAAGGCATGTTTTATTCACAGCAGTGTTTTTGCAGCTGTGCTCCATTGCTCAGCTCCTGTTTGACAACCATTAAAACAAAACTCTTTTTTCTCATACTCGTTTTTAACCACACATTCTCACAATACAATATTCAGCACGTAAACCAAAAACTTATTTCTACGTAAACCAAAAACTTATTTCTACGTAAACCAAAAACTTATTTCTACGTAAACCAAAAACTTATTTCTACGTAAACCAAAAACTTATTTCTACGTAAACCAAAAACTTATTTCTACGTAAACCAAAAACTTATTTCTACGTAAACCAAAAACTTATTTCTACTTCTTAACCACACATTCTCCAAAAATTATTATTCAAAAACTCTTTTCCCCATTTTAATGGTTGTCAAACAGGGGCTCAATAAATAGGCAGATTGGCCTATTCATTAATTTCTTCAGTTTTAAATTGTTTATCTTCACAAACCCCTTTTGCTTCTCATTCTTCTAAATCATAAAGATCCATTTGGATGAAAATACAAACCAATAAAGAGGGAAGTTGATGAGGACATCCAGTTTTAATTATTTTAGCAGTTTTAATTATTTTAGTTGGATTTAGGTTATTTTAATTTTATGGACTTGTGTATTGAGCTTGGCCCTAGGTTTGCAGTATTTTCCAGTATTTAAACCTATTTTACATTGTTATTTTTAGTTGATGAATTTTATTAAATTATGAAGTTGGCTTGCAGCCGTTTTCCTGTGTTCTTCCCCACCTTTGTTCTTCTTCTTCTCCTCTTCCCTTCCCCCATCTCTTCTTGCTATACTTACTGAGTTATTCCCCCTACAGCAAATAATTATTCCCCTGCATCAAATTGGTATCAGAGCCAAACCTGGCTCCCCTCACCCACGGCCAAAAATCCAGACAAGCTATTCTCTTGCTACCAGCGTTACCACCATCATCTGAAAACCGCCCCAACACCGACCACCAACTTCTGTAATCATTCCCAGCAAGCTAGATTTTTGTAATTGTTGACAGTTTCTTCTCTACATCCAATCCCCTACATACTTAATTGCCAGCAGCTTCCTATAACCCATACAGGTAATCCAACATCACGATTGGTCCAATGCCTACGATACCCATCATCCACACCTGTTACGGTTCCTTTCCCCGTCGCCTTTTCTGCCTCGATTTCAACAGAGGACCGATTCAATCAGGAAGACGACAGAAGATTCGAGCCCTAAATTTTGGACCAAATAGTCGCCGGCTTCCCTTCTTTTCTCAGTCTCTACCCAACCGCCGGTCAATTGGCCGCCACTTCCAAGGCGACCACCACCGCTGTCGACCAACCGCCAGTCAGTTGGCCGCCACTTCCAAGGCTTCCCTTCTTTTCTCACTCTCGAAGCCTGTTGGCCCACTGGAAACGAAGAAAAGTGTGGAACGAAAAGGATTGCATATCATTAGTCCTACGGAGTTTGAGCGTACACTTGTTAGTGACTCAGTTGTCTTCGCTTTGGTAGTCATGGAGGTCCCATCACACTCCGCAATAGAGAGCCCTGTTGAAGTCCTATCGGTCCTCCAAGAGTTTCGAGACGTCTTTCTAGAGGATCTCCCTGATCACCTACCTCCACTAAGGGATATTCAATATGCCATAGACTTCGTTCCGGGGGCATCCTCCCAAATTGACGGTCAAACTGAAGTAGTTAATCGAAGCTTTGGTAACCTATTATGTTGTCTGGTTCGAAAAAACCTTCGAAATTGGGATTTAATCCTTCCTGTAGCTCAAATTGCGTACAATAGCTCTATAAATCGTTCACTAGGTATGAGTCCATTTGAAGCCGTTCATTGGTACAAGCCTAGGAAACCGTTAGATCTCATCCCTAAGTCCCCACAGGCTAGAGTGTCAGTATCGGCCGAAGCATTTACACAATATCTTCGTGACTTGCATATTGAGATCAATAAACAACTTGAAACTAGTAATGCAACATATAAACTCCAAGCTGATTTACACAAACGACATATTGAGTTTAACATTGGGGATTACGTTATGGTTCGCATTAAGCCAGAGCGGCGTCTACATGGACTCGCCTCTAAATTGCAAGCTCGTAGTGCTGGTCCTTTTAAAATTTTAAAGCAAGTTGGTCCAAATGCATATATTGTTGACATTCCACCACACCTTGGTTACCACTCTACTTTCAATGTTGAGGACCTTGTAGCTCATAAGGGCCATTTCATTCTCTCAGATGATCCTCTGTCTTCTCCTATTGTGGACCTTGACCCTGATTCTTTGACCCCTTCTAACCCACTACCACCTCTCATAGCACACAAAGAAAAAATTGATGCTATTTTAGATGAAGAAACTGTATTCACTACTGATGGAGAGGTTCAGCGCTTCCTTGTTCGTTGGGTTGGTCGACCAGATTGTGACTGTGCATGGATCTCCAAGGAGACACTACAGCAATTGGACCCAGATTTGTTAGAGTTTTATCGGAGTCAGCAGGATCTTCATTGGTCCAGATCGCCTCCCGTCCACCCGAGAGGAGTTGGTGAGGACACCAGGTTCAGACCGCCACTGACGCATTTCTACAGACGTCGAAAGAAGCTTGCCCGGCCACTCAGCCTATGGTTGGGAGATTGACGGATGCCTATGGTGATATAGCCACTCGACAGGGTCGAATTTTTCTCCCACCTCGGGAGAATTGATGAGGACATCCAGTTTTAATTATTTTAGCAGTTTTAATTATTTTAGTTGGATTTAGGTTATTTTAATTTTATGGACTTGTGTATTGGGCTTGGCCCTAGGTTTGCAGTATTTTCCAGTATTTAAACCTATTTTACATTGTTATTTTCAGTTGATGAATTTTATTAAATTATGAAGTTGGCTTGCAGCCGTTTTCCTGTCTTCTTCCCCACCTTTGTTCTTCTTCTTCTTCTCTTCCCTTCCCCCATCTCTTCTTGCTATACTTACTAAGTTATTCCCCCTACAGCAAATAATTATTCCCCTACATCAGAAGTCCTTGGTAATCCGGTTGATATCACTCCATATCTCGATT